ATGGGACCTCTTCTTGACATTCTTTGACTTGTGACCCATGAGGAAAACACCACTAGGTATTCCAAGAATACCTTGCGGATGCATTTGTGTAAGTTTACACTTTTCACTAGACTGTATTGATTGTGCAAGAGAAGCTGTGAGTCTCTTTCCATTAGAGCGTTACAATGGGATACACAGTCCACAGTCCACCGCTCCTCTTAAAATCACTAGTAAGTTCTTGAGCAGGAAGCTCACCTATGTCCCTTAGCAGAATGATCAGCAGTTCCATCCATTTCCACACCAACAACACAGGTGTCTTCTTTCCGGCGGAATTCAACTCCTACACCTATCACATCTCGCTTGCCCTTTCATCTGGCAGTGGTTACCATGGCTGACTCTGTGACTTAGTAATTGTGAATACTACAGTGATACATGTGACTGAGCAGATGTCTCCTAGTAAGTTGACTTTTTTTTTCTTCTATTTTGGGGCACAGGGATCGGGGGATATATATCCAGAAGTATAGCTGGGTCATATGCAAGCCCGATTCACCTAAACTGTTTAAAAGAAAGATCTGTCTCTATAGATGAGAAGGTTGGTTTGTGTATTCACTTAAAATGCGTTTACTAGATGTCTTTTCGGCTCAGTTTAGTGTCAGGACAAAAGTAAAGTGCTGCTGTGTTTGAGAGGCCAGCAGGTGGGGAGGAAATGGGAGATCCAGCTCAGACCAGTCTGCTGAGTTCACAAGGATATGGTTCTAAGGGAAGAAAGTCCTGGTTTTGAGCCCCACACCGGGATCAGACGGAAAGGAAGAGAGCAGAATGTGCCTCAGTGGGAGGGACAGCAGGTCACAATACCTCGTCCTTGCTATAGGATGGCTCTTGAGGTGGACGACATTGGCAGATCAGAGCACAGGCTCTGGAGATGGGCTGCCTGGTGCTAAGTGCTGTTGGCTCCATTCGAGAGCTGTCAGGAATTAAACGGTTTCCTCAGTGCTGTTAAGATATAGACATAGAACCTCACCTCCCAGGCTTGGTGGGAATTTGAAGTTCATAAGTACAGAGCAACTTGGGGCAGTAGATGAGTCTTCAGTGTGATCCGCCACAGTGGCCAGCATGTCCCAAGCGCCCAGTTACAAGGAGGTTCAGCCAGTGAATAGACAGTGCTGACAGCTGTAGGTTTCCCCACAGACAATGATTCTGGGGTTTCAGGAACCCCTGAGTTTAGAAAGTTAAGTAGTCTTCATCTTGGAATTCCATAACCTGGACTCAACAGGTCCCCCAATCCTCTGAGAAAGTACATGAATACAACCAAACAGATCCCAGACAAATGCTAAAACCACTCGGTTCTCCCTCATGCCCAGAGCAGGAAACACCCAGAATGAATGATGACCCCAACAATGGACCGCAGATTCTGTAAGCCCCCTTCCAGAAACAGGTCTGTCCTCTCCCACCAGGCAGCCCTCACGGATGCACACAGGTACTCCAGGCTGGACACCCAGTAACTCCTTCATCTTCTCAGTTTCTACCCAGAATTCCAGTAAGAACCTTGTCCCTCAGCCAGAGGGAAAAGAAAGCGAAGAGTCAAGGCTGGTTTTGAACACTGTTTTTTATGTTTTTTTTTTTTTTGCTTGTTTGTTTGTTTGTTTTTAAATCCTGCAGGAAGAGCGCACTTCTTCTGCCTGTTGTCTCTGGCCCTGCCTCGTCCTAGTGCCGTCTTGAATCTTAGTCCCTTTTAGAACTTAAGCCTGCCTGCAATTGCATGCTGGGATTTCTCTGAACTCTGCTTTCTGGAGAAAGTTCAGGATAATGCTATCCTGGTCCTGGAGTGGGTGTTCCATCCCTTGCTCTGTAACTTTCTGCTTCAGGGAAGAGGGAATCCTCAGCATCCCCGGGAACCTCTCTCTCTATCCCATTACTGATTCTTCCTCTTAGAGGGAAGGTTCACCACCCACTGGGGTGTTTTCCAGGGAGGACCTGGGATGCCTAGCTCCGACCCCCTCTTTCTCCTGTGAGCCCAAGAAATGTGAGTTCTGCTTAGTCATAGATATAGTATTGTGTTCCCCCATAAGCGGGTGTTTGTCACCCGACCCACGCCACAGGAGAGAAACATCAGGAATACAGACTGGGAGCTGCCCCTACTGCACATATTGGTCCACTGGGATTGGTCATCTAGGTGGCTGTCATTTGTTGGCTCTGACTGGCTTCTCAGTACATCTCAAAATTCTGTGGGGAAGGGACTCATCCTGACTGACTCTTGAGCCCCACAACTGCATGGGGCTGTCTCTGGCGACATGACAGCTCTGTCACCCATTGTCGTATGCGACTTCTCAGTCTCTACATCCTTGTAAGTACAGAGGCTTAAAGGACGGGCAGCATCTGCAGACTGCAGAAGCACTCTGGACGGGCTGTGTAATCGCCCCAGCTTTTAGTGTCCCTTGCAGAGAAACCAGCAGCCGTTTTTGTGAACGCTTAATCTTGACAAGCCTTGATGAATTGGCCCGAACAAAATCATCCTGTAATCCAATCCAGCCACGTTTAGATCGCCACCACTTTACCCTTATCTCATCGAGACCCGCGACCTTTAAAATAATCACATTGTCCTCTCCATGCGTCTTTAAGTCCTTGTCTAATGGAGGGGGACACCCCAGCCCCAGGACCTGGCTGCTCCTTCTATAAAGACATTAGAGACCTCCTCCCATGGCTCTTGCTATGTTACTCCTAGGTCACACTTGATCTGAGAGTGTTTTTGTTGTGTTGAAGAATGGCAGGAAATTTGCATACACATCCAAGTGCTTAGATGAAAACTTTGGTGTTCTCATCCTGAGACGAAAAAGGTATGAGTTGTAGATCTTCTTCAAATGAACTCATAAGTCCTTTATGTCAGCGTGCAGTTTCAAATGATCAAGAGTTGCGTGTTTGACAGACACCAAGAAAAAGACGTACACTTTTGCTCCCATCTTAAAAGCAGAAATGTTCATGATCTAGAAAATGTTTCCCCCTTATAACCTCTCACTCATGCAGAAGCTGCAACATGTGGCTGCCCCTGGCCATCTTCCTAAGCAGATGTACTGAGCTTAAGACACTTGTTTCAGTAACCGTATCGAAAGAAGAGAGTCACTGGGCTGCAAACACTGGGCTAAGGTGATGTTTGCTGTGTTTTTGAGGCCAGTGAGCTTATGTCTACTCCTGATTCTCTTTTTGTGTGGATACTAGGCATTTCTTTGTACTGCCTTTTCTGCCTCCCCCTCCCTGTCTCTGCAGAGGCCTAGCAGAACATCTCTAGAAACTTCTTCCCAATTCAGAACTCACATCCTAATCATTTTTGGATTTTGATTGTGTGTGTGTGTGTGTGTGTGTGTCTGTGTGCATGCGCACACCAGTGTATAAGCTTGAGGTCAACTTTAAGTATATTTTTTGATTGTTTCCTACCTCTGTTTTTGAGATAGTATGTGTTAGGGTTAATTGCCAACTTGACAGAATCTAGAATCACTGGGAGATGGGGAACTGGGATGCCTGTTGGGGCTTCTCTTGGTTGTATTAATTAAGGTGGGAGCATTTGCCCACTCTGGGCGGCATAATTCCTTGGCTGGGCTGGGATCCTTGATGGGATAATTGGTGGCATTGTTTCTCTTCCTGACGAGGATGCACTGAGACCTGCTGCGTCAGGCTCCTGCCATTCGGACAGCCCCATTATTATGCACTGTGCCCTAGAGCTGTGAGCCAGAACAAGCCCTTTCTGCCTTAAGTAGCATTTGTTAGGAAATTTTGAGTCAGTAATAGAAAATATGTAGGGTCTCTCATTGGGTGAGTGTCTCTACCAGTGTGTTCTTGCAGAACCCCCAAGTATTACCCATCATCCACCCCTGCCAGCCCTGCAAGGGCATCTATGGGCTCTGAAGACAGTCTAGGATCCAGCTACCCTCAAACTGGCTGTGTCTCATTTCCTACTTGCTTAGCTGCTTATTTCTCCAAACAACTGGTACATTCTGCATTCTCTGTATATGTAACTTCCAGGGCATGGCCAGCCACTTTTATTTCGGCCTCTAAACTGGAGGGACTTCTCAGATGAGGAGGTCAACTCATCGGGAGAACCCAACAACTCCAAGGAACGTAAATATAGTTCTGAGACTCAGAAGCATTTTCTGAGATCAGTATCAGGTCTCTGATAAGACACTGCCCGATTAGCACCAAAGCTAGAGTCATTAGACCCACCCACCCCTCAGGTTGGAAGCAAAGACTAGATAAAAGGAGGAATTCGAGAACTCGTTTGCTAGCAGCAGATGCCTCCAAACAGGAACATGTTGGCATGTCACCCTCTGTTGGAGAGACTGAAAGCCTAGACTTCCTGCTGTCAAGCCTGTGTCAGGGACAAATATCCCTTCTGGGTGACCACATCTAGGTCAGTCTGTGCTGATGCCTACCTTAGGCAAGTGCCACAGCCTCCTCTGCATAGGCGACAACAATGACATCAGTTCCTCAACTTTCAAGAACTTACTAAGGACAGAGCACGGGATGGGACGGAGCAGAGAGGTCTCTGCAGCGTCCTTTCTCCATGCACTCTTATTTTAAAATACATACTAAATCTGCCAAACACTAAACCCAAGCCACAACAAGTAACCGTTTTTACAATGTCCTAG